TATTTTTATATAGGAGTATATATATTTATATTTTTATTTGTATATAGATATGAATATATATGAATATATATATATATATATATATTGCTATTTATTTATTTTATTTTAAATTTAAAAAAAAATCGATTTTTTTTCATATTTTTTGGAATTTTTTAAAAAATATGACGTGGCATGCTGATGTGGCAAAAAAAATCTATGTGGCGTGCCACGTCAGCCACCACATGGCATGCCACGTCAGCGGTTAACGGACACTTAACACCGTTTTCGGATTGTGTAAGAAATTGCAGTTAAATCGGGTAGTTCGTGTATCAATTTGACACATTTGATAATTTGGTGTAATTTTTTGTCAAATTAAAAATTCGTGTAGGAAAAGGTCACATTTTGCAAAGTTGGTGTAGGAAAATGTCATTTTCCCTAAAATTTAATGTTTTAAACTTTTATCTTAGTTATTAAAGTTTTTAGATTTTTTACAATTTTATTGGAGGATTAATAAGTGGATTTATTTAGATAGATATTTTGAAGTCTATGTAGGATTAATATTTTTTTTTAAATATATCATAACCGAACCGAATTGATCTAAAACCGAACCGAATAAACCAAAAAATATAATCCTTTTATTATAATTTTATTATACAAAAACCAAACCGAACCGAAGCGAAACCTAACTGAAACGAACCGATTAAATCTATATAACCGTTTAGATATGATTTTTTATAACCGAAATAACCGAACCGAAAACCAAATTGAAATCCGAAATGACCACCTCTCAACTTACCAACCGTTGGATCACTAAAAGATCTATTTAAGAAACCAATGACCGTTGGATTGCGAGTGATTGGTAATATCATTGTAAAGTCTTGTACTTTTGATATTTATGGAAATTGACAAATCATTTGCACGATTATATCTAATAAATTGTGCAATAAAATCGTTTATATCGTTTTCATTGGTACATTCTTAGAATATAGTTTTTTGTATACAAATACTACTATATAAAAATTCTTAACAATGAGACCGCGAACGTGGCTCAAATGTAACCGTTAATAACCTCCATCTTGAATACCTTTATCCTACGCTGACGATCCGCGCACGTTAGTTAAAACTTATGAGAAAACTCCATTATCCTGCTTCATGCGCCCGTTAGCAGTTAACCCTCTTTAGTAGCTTCTTTCTCCCTCATTTATGGCGCGCGGATCCCCCAAAACCTTTCCCTTAATCCTGTCTCCGACCAATGCGATTTCCTCTCTGTCATTCACCTTCAGCCTGTCGCCTGAGCAATATCGTACCAATGTCGAACGGGTTGAGTTATCTGGTTTGGTTCCGAAAGGGGCTCCGAATACACGACAATCCGGCTCTAGAATTCGCCTCCAAGGGCTCCGAATTCATGTACCCGGTCTTTGTGGTCGACCCGCATTACATGGAGCCCGACCCGTCTGCATTCTCGCCTGGTTCGACCCGGGCCGGATTGAACCGGATCCGGTTCCTGCTCGAGAGCCTCGAGGATCTGGATTGTAGCCTCAAGAGACTCGGGTCACGGTTGCTGGTGTTGAAGGGTGATCCGGGTGAGGTCTTAGTCCGTTGCTTGAAAGAGGTGATCTCGCTAACTTGATTACTTTTGGAAACGTATTTTTTGGAGATTTCTGTATTAAAGTTGAAATTTTTGACACTGATGTTGCGGTGGGTTTAGATAAAGTTTGAGTTTTTACATTAGACGAGAAGAGAAAGTTTGATTCTTTGTTCTTTTTCGTTCTGGTTACGTGTTATAGAGCAAGGATAAAGTTTTGAAGTTATGTTATAAATTGGTTTGGAACGGAAAGTGTGTGCATTTTTTTACCTTTATACATGTAGAGTATTTACCCTCCGATTCACCTCACCGACACTTCGATTTCACTCGTGTGAGCAAGAAATGAAAGAAGGAGAGACGACACAGAGTTTACGAGTTCGGTACCGAGCTCTAACGCTCGGTGCCTACGTCTCGGGAAGAGGGAACCGCTATTTGCTAGGTACAACACAGAAACAATGCTGAGGATACACAGTTGTCTAGATTTGTTGATATGCTTCGGAAGTTAGAGGTTAAGATGCATTTCTATGAGACGATACTTCAGATCCCTTCTTATGCGAAATTTTTGAAAGATATCTTGACTAAGAAGAGGGTGATTGGGAAGGAGA